GCGTTTGGCTTTCTTTTCTTTCAAAAATGTCTAAATAAACAGATTTTTGTCATAGTTTGTTGATTTTGTCCAAGTCCGGAAACACGTCTTTCCCATCTTGGGCCATCTACGTGCGTGTGTGGGGGGAGGGGGAGCCATGGTCCGGTTCCTCCTCCCCTTGGATCCGCCCTTGATCGGACCTTTTGACTTTTCTGTTGTTTTTAGCGGTGTGTCGTGTCTGTTGTCTGTTTCTGTTGCCATTCGACGTCAGAGGCGGATCTAGCTTGGAGTTTTTTTGGTGGGGGGGGGGGGGGGGCAACAGTTCGTCGCCAGCTGGTTGGTGTGGGATCCGAGGTCCAGTGCACTTCACAAACACGATGTTTGCGCAAAGTATGACTAAGCCGCGTCAACATGCGTTTTGTTTTGATATTCAAATCGCTGCCGACTTTTCTTCATGAATTTTTTCTGTTCCGAAACGGAAAGAAATGTTTGATGCCGCATCACCAAAGTTAAAACAGACGGTGAGTAGGCGAAACTTTTACGAAGTTCTGGGAATGTTTTGGAGGGGCCAAAACATACTCGCAGAGTTTTTTGGGGGGCCATGGCCCTGTGCCCCCCCAGGATCTGCCTATGTTTGACGTTAAAATAATTCCCAAAATAATTGGGCGGTGTCTTCACAGCTGGCTCAAGCACAAAAGTTTTCATTGCATCATATCGCTCAGTCACCCAAAAGTTCGTCAACCACCTCATGAAGTCGAACGTTAAAGCCGCTGTATGAAGGCGTTGGCGTGACGGCCACGCCAAGCAGTCACTGGTGGGAAATTTGATGTGGTAGCAAAGGTGCAAGCATCGACTTCGAACTTACGTATTATCGTCCGTCTACAGGTAAGATGGTAACGAGATATTTGCTATCTCTTCTCGCGGACAGGTTGACTGTCACTTTCCCAGTTCTAGTTTCTAAAATGTGAATTGCTGCGTTCGTTTTCGTGTGCGGATATTTTCTATGCCACGATGTGGATGAATTTGGAGGATTTGTAAAAAAATAAACAGTTAATTATTATTATATTACACTATAACAGACAGTTATCTTTTAGAAACCCTCGGCAACCAGATTGTGCCCAGTGCTCAGGTTTTCTTTTTAAGGAGCCGACCCCGCATGGTAAATCTCATTTGACTCCATGCTCACCACCATGCAAGGAAGGGATTTCGTTTCCCTTGCTTTGTCTAACGTATGTGCCGTGATGTTTGCGACACACTTATGTGTCTTAAGGTTTGTGCAATAAATGCGGCAAAAGCTTGAAACACTCTTCAGACAAAAGGATATGCGAATATGAAGCCACTATTCCACGAATTCAACCAAACGTCATATTATGGCTTTGATTTCTCCCTATTGTGTCCAACTAATCGGTTCTTTTCTAGGCGCACTGGCTTTGGGGGAGTTTCACATGTTCCGATGTCTTTGCCCACTGGGCCAATCGCAAACGGTTTTTTATTCGCACCAGTAAAAGCGCGCCCGGCGGTTGTTATGACGACGGTGATCGCGACTGCGGGGAAGAAGTGTAGTGCTGTTACCAAACGTTGACAGCGGAATTGGGACCTGAAAACAAGTGAAATAAAAATCGTTATGTCTCGAAGTTGCTGTAGTGGCATTGCCTAGTGTTTTGATTGCACCTAACTAGTCCTGAGGTTTCACTAAGTTGTTTTTGAAATATACCCTAAAGGTGCGACACTCCCGTTTCCACTTTTGCTCGAGGATAGCGAAGCTATCAATTAAGATAATTAATTGTTATCTAACAAGCAAGTCATTGTCAGGTACGTTGTCAGTTTCAATAAAACACATGCAGTCGGTAAGGTTTTGGAATGAGAGAGAGGATGGGTGCTTTCATTGACATATCGCAATGCGTTATGAACTGCAAGCTCCCTTTTTATAGACAACGTAGGTTGGAAAATCACACGCAGCTACAGAATTACAACGCCTGGAGGAACGAAGCTAGAGGATACCTGAACTGCTATGCGTCACATGCGCTTCACCGGGTAGCCAAGCGATGTTTCCGCCCGCCTGGAGCGTCTCTATTAGAAGGCACTCGCTTGACAGACGTCGATCCTGTTCTCCTTTATGGTCGTTTTATCCTGGGTGCTCACAACGCCTCACCTCACCTGGAGCCTGCCTCTGACCGGCGGCCACAGGTGGGACCGTCGTTCGATCCACCTGGGAGTCCTTCCCATCCGGGCAACCGCGCACCGCGGCGCAGGCTCGATGCGCGGGAACCTGGGAGTCCTTCCCATCCGAGCAACCGCACACACCGCAGCGCAGGCTCGGAGTGCGGGAGCCTGGGAGTCCTTCCCATCCGAGCAACCGCACACACCGCGGCGCAGGCTCGATGTTCGGGAAAGGGCTGGTTATCGGAGGTAATCGGACGGCAGCAGGACGGCTCCACCTCTTATTTTAGCCTGAATCCTATCAGTGGCTGAGGCAGACAGAGACAGAAAAGTCGACAGGAACGAACGCTATGCATGCAAA